TTTTTTTTTTATCTGCTTTTATTGCTGCTAAATGCCTATTTTTTTCTGCTGATTTGACATTTTTTAAAATCGGATAGATATTTTTTACTGTAGAGTTATCGGTGATCAACTTTCAGTCAACTAATTATCGGTTGAGTTGTGCAAAACATTGCTGCAAATAGTTTTAGTTTTGTTACTGACGCTTCAGTAGTGATGATAAAATGTTGAAGATAGCCAATAATTTTAAGATTTAAATTAGAAAAAGTTAGGTTTTTTAATTTGTTACGAGGAAAAAAAAATATGCAGAAGAAGTAAAGAGTGATTGCATTTATAGTTGCCATCATTTCCTTGTTTTTCTTCGAATTCCTCTCTTTTTTTTTCCTTTGTCTAGAACACTGAACAGTTTTCAACTGTAAAAACATTACAAGAAAAAAAATAAAAGAAAAAAGTTAGAAAGAAGAAATAAATTTTTTTCTTTTCTAATTTTATCACTTTAAAAAAGTCTGTTTATTAAAAAACTTTTGAGTACATTTATTGCAGTCTTTAGAATTATATAACTGTATTAAGCGTTTCATAAGTATATAACTTTTTCTTTGTTTCGTGACAGTTACTAAGTTCCCATAATTTTGATTGGTTACTACTGTATAAATCGACTTTTGATGTAGTCCAGAAGTGTTATTCGGTATAAGTTGTCTGAAGTTTTCAATGAAAAAATATGCTGTAAGATTTTAAGTTGAAACGAGGTGTAATGAGTTAAATTTCACTGGTAAAAATCAAAAAAGAACGATTTTTTTTTAAAAATTTTTAGTCTGCCTTCTTTAAAGCAAAGAAGTTGTATAAAGAAGTGATCTGAAGATCAAAATTTTTTGGATTTTAAAATTCCGCTTTTGAAACACTTTTTTTTTTTAGTCTACCAGTTTTTTATGTCTTGAAACAAAGCTTGAAATGTCAGTTGTTTAGGAGGTTTTTTTGCTGGAATTATTATTGAGCATTTAAGTATCGGATTAGACAAATTATTAATTGCATATTTTGAATTATGATTGAGTAGTCTTTTTTTTCTTTGTTTTTTATTGTATTGTTAATCATTGATTGCAGAAATGGAAAATACAGATAGACATATAGATTTTGTTTTTTTTTTTTTTGTTTTTAATCGAAAAACAATTGAGAACATATATTTGGCAATTATACTAAGCAGTGAAAAAAAAATGTAGGAAC